AGTGAGAAATCACCCCCTAGGGGGATGGCCATGCCACAGTCTTTTCTCCTCCATTTTCCTCTCAGGATCTTGGGCACACATGCACACGCACTCAGCATGAGTTTAAGCCACCAGGTCCGGGACTCGAATTGCGGTTTACTACATGGGAGTCCAGCAGCATAGCCATTATGCTAACTGCTGGTCCCAACAGTAAACTATTTTCTAAATCTAGTGTAAAGAATGGTGGCATTGTTGGGACCAGCAGATGGTATAATGATTACGTTGTTGTACTCCTACCTCATCAGCTATGGTTCAAGGCCCTGACCCAGTGGTTTAAAACTCACCCTGGGTGCGTGTGCTTGAGTGCCCAAAATCTTGAGAGGAGAGTAGAGGAGAAGGGATTGTGGCTTGGCCATACTCCCTGGGGGGTGATTTCTCTCTTTCTGTCTCTCTGGTGAGCGCACACACCATATAGCAAAAAATCTCTCAAAAAAAGAAAAAAAAAAGTGACAATTTTTTACATTTTTAACATTTTTATACATCTATAATATCTGATAATGGAAGGCAGTTGGGTGTTCTTATTGCCTCTATTCAGTTTCCTTTGTTATTTTTATCATCATTATTATTTTTTTAAATTTTCTTTAGTGTGTTTATGCTTGTCAGAGAGAGACAGAGGAGAATATTGATGTAGGGAGTGAGAAAGCACGCCACAGAGGGAATAACCATGCTGCAGTTCCTTCTCCATTCTGTTGGGATTTTGGGCATGCATGAATGTGCTGAGCATGATTTTCAAGCTACTGACTTGGTTGGGAACTTACACCATGCAGTCGGCCTTTGGAGATTCAGCTGCCTTAACCACCATGCCACTTGGCTGATCCATGTTATTATGTTCTTTTGGTTGAAGTAGATGAAGATAATATAGCCTCTTACATGTAATGAAATTAATAAAATGAAGAGCATTTTAATAGCCTTTTCAAATAAGTATGTATATTCTTCCTTGATACTGTACTTGACAAATGGTAGGGCTTTGTTTAAACATTTATTTACTATTATTTATTATTATTTTAAATTTACTATAAGGCGTGTATGTTCACTACACACACCACAGAGAGAGTAAGAAAATAAGCTCCCAGGTCCTGGACTCAAACTGCTGTTGGCCATGTGTGAGTCCAGTGCCTTAACCACCATGTCACCTCCTGGTTCCCAAATGGTAGTTTCTTCTTTTTTTTTCAGTTTTTTTTTTTTTTTTGTTTGTTTGTTTGTTTGTTTGTTTTTAGTTACTGTGTACATGTCTGTGTGTTTGAGGGATCTAGCTTCCAAAAGGTAATTACTTTGTTTTTTTTTTAAAGAATTATTATATTGGGGAAGGCAAGTGGCGTGGTGGTTAAGAGCGCTGGACTCCCACATGGCTGACCATGGTTCAAGTCCAGCACCTGATGGCTTGCTTTCTCACTTTCCTTTTCTCTCTCTCTGACTTTATCCCTCTCTGGTCAAATAAAAATAAATAAATTAATTAATTAATTAATTTTTAAAAATTCTCTTTTTTTTTTTTTTTTTTGAGAGTTTTTTGCTATAGGGCGTGTGCGCTCGCCAGACAGACAGACAGACAGACAGAAAGCGAGAAATCACCCCTCAGGAGGGATGGCCACGCCGCCATCCCTTCTCCTCCATTCTCCTCTCGGGATCTTGGGCATGCACGCACACGCGCCTGGCGTGAGTTTTAAGCCATTGCGTCCGGGACTCAAACCATGGTCGACTACGTGGGAGTCCAGCGACATAGTTATTATGCCAACTGCTGGTTCCTTAAAAATTCTTAAGAAAAGAATGATTGAATGATTTTATTCAACTTTATCTTTCTATCTACCTACCTATCTATCAGTCAATCTATCTATTTATTTATTTATTTAACTAACCAATCAGAGAGGGACAGAGTCAGAGTGAGAACAAGAAAGTGAAAAAGCAAACTGCCTAGCCTGGGACTTGAACCACGGTTGGCCATGTGAGAGTCCAGTGCCCTTACCCACGATGCCACCTATCTGCCCCATGTGGTAGTTTCTTAAAGATTAGGTGCAATGTGGAATCTCAAACTGTATCAGTGAAGTATTAGTATCTTGCCACTTTAAAATCTATTGGTCTATTTTGCATGTTGAATGAGTCTTTCACTCATACATAGTCTTGACATCATGCCTTCGTCTTTGGAAAAAACGTAGTTCACTGAGTTATGAACATCTTCCAAATGTTAATACATTTCATTACAGAATACCTAAAATAACACATGGTTAATATTGCCATGATCTCATCAGAAAAGTCTTAAGTATTGGTAAACTATCAAACTCATAATGGCAACACAGATTTTTTTTTTTTCCAGAGGTTTTTGCCTTAGGGCATGCATGCTGGCTGGGAGAAAAAGAGACAGTGAGAAGGAAAGTGAGAAATCTTCCCTGCAGGGGGCATGGCCATGCCACAATCCCTTCTGATCTTGGGCAAGCACACACATGCGCCTGGCATGATTTTCAAACTATCAGGTCCAGACTCAAGCTGTAGGTGGCCGGCCCTATGGGAGTCTAGCAGCATAACAGCTATGTCTCTCTGGTGAGCTCACGTGCCTTGTAGTAAAAATCTCCCTCAAAAAAATCTATTCAGGGGAACCAGCAGTTAGCGTAACAGCTATGTCGCTGGACTCCTATGTAGTCGACCGTGGTTCGCGTCCCGGACCTGGTGGCTTAAAACTCAAGCTGGGCGCTTGTGCGTGTGTGCCCAAGATCCCGAGAGAATGGAGGAGAAGGGATTGCGGCGTGACCATCCCCCCGGGGGGTGATTTCTCACTTTCTGTCTCTATGTCTCTCTCTGTCTGTCTGGCGAGCGCATGCGCCCTATAGTGAAAATCCCCCCCCCCCAAAAAAAAAAAAATCTAACCAGTTTTACTCCTTTGTCATGGGCAATCTTAAAAGTTTTTTCCTTTTTTCCTTTTTTTACCTGTTATAATGTGGCAGTGTATATAGTGATTATTAGGTTAGTTTTGATTCATGTTTATATGCCAGCAGTATTTCCCACCAGTGCTTTTCACCATCAGTGCAAATGATAACACAGCTGACAAATGATGTGTTAGGATTTTGGAAAAAGCATTGCTTGCCTGGATTCTCTAAAATAATCTTGAGGACTTCCAGAGCCCCATGAGCCACACTGAGAACTAATGGACTAAAAGATACTACAGTGCTCTGAAAGCTGGTAACTAATAATAATTCAACCTCTGGGGACCAGCAGGTGGCGTAATGGCTGTGTTGCTGGACTCCCATGTAGTTGGCTGCGGTTCGAGTCCCAGACCTGGTGGCTTAAACTTAATGCCAGTCGCGTGTGCATGCATGCCCAAGATCCTGAGAGAGGAAAATGGAGCAGAAGGGATTGTGGTGTGGCCATCCTCTCTGGGGGGTGATTTCTCACTTTCTGTCTCTCTGTCTTTCTCTGTCTTCACACGCCCTATAGCAAAAACCTCTCCCCCCCCCAAAAAAAAATTCAACTTCTGAATAGCAAGAGTTGATCATAATATATACATGAGTTTACCAATTGAAGCTTTTAATAATTCAGCTTTTCTGAAGGTTAACGTCTGGCTGGTTAAGAAATAATTTTATACAGGACCAGCAGATGGCATAATGGTTACGTTGCTGGACTCCCAATTAGTCAACTGTGGTTTGAGTCCTGGACCTGGTTGCTTAAAACTCACGCCAGGCTCATATGCGTATGTGCCCAATATCTGAGAGGAGAAAGGAGGAAGGGCTTGCAGTGTGTTCATCCTCCTTGGGGATGTATGCATGCATCTGTAAAATTATGAGAGGAGAATAGAGAAGGGGGATTGTGGTGTGGGCATCCCCTGTGGGGGGTGATTTCTCACTTTCTCTCTCTTTGTCTCTTTCTCTGGCAAGTGCAAATGCCCTATTGCAGAAGACTAAAGAAAAAGAAAATTTATTTTGTGGACACAGTTTTGCATTATATTTTTATCATTGCCAGTGTTTACTTTGAATAGTTTGATGGAATTTCTTTTTTTTTATATTTATTTTAATTTTATTTATTCATTTATTTATTTTTTAAATTTTACCAGAGAGAGACACACACAGAGAGAGGAGGGTTGGGGGGAGTGAGAAAGCAAGCCACTAGGTCCAGAACTCAAACCATGGTCAGCCATGTGGGAGTGTCCAGTGCCTTAGCCACCACGCCACCTGCTGGTCAGTTTGATGGAATTTCTAAACTGGGTGTCTTCTAACAGGTAACATGTCTAATTTCTGTTGCTTTGGTACTTGGCAGTGTTGGGTTGTAAACCTGTGGAAGTGACAGTTTACTGTATTCATAATTTGTAATAATGGCAGCACAGACATTTTCTGCAGTAGGTAGCTGTTACTTGAGTCATTCCGAACTAGGTTGCTCAATTGTGAAGTTTCTTCCTGGGAGCACCAGGCAAAACATATTTGTTTCTACCTTCTTCCTTCCTTTTGCAGTGATCTTAATCACAGCACGCAATTTGTACAGGGGCTAGCCCTTTGTACCCTTGGTTGCATGGGCTCCTCAGAGATGTGCAGAGATCTTGCGGGAGAAGTAGAGAAGCTCCTGAAAACCTCCAACTCTTATTTAAGAAAAAAGGTAACTTTTGTTTTGTTTGTTTTATTATACGGTATATATACTTCTTGGAGAGAGACAGAGATAGAAAGAGAAAGGGAAAGTGAGAAATCACCTCCCAGGGGGTTTGACCATGTCACAGTTTCTTTTCCTTCCTTGTTCCCTGTGCACATGCACCAGCTGTGATTTCAAATCACTGGGTTCAGGACTCAAACTGTGGAGTTGGCCATGTGAGGTCCAGCACCTTAACCTCACTACCCACTGGCCTGGTAACTTTTAATGAAATGAAATATCTGTATTTGGATTAGGGAATATTACAGCCATGAAAAGAAAGATTATTCAGCTTTCAAAGTAATGATGATAATTAATATATTTTTCCTCTGTAAATATTTTTAAATGGTTTTATATGAATCTTCTTCCTTTTTCAAGAAAATGATTTAAACATTTTATTAAGTTTTAAAGTTTTTATTGTGCTTGAACCCTACATTTTTTTTATAGAGATTTTTGCTATAAGGCACGTGCACTCGACAGAGAGACAGAGAGAGCACACGCACCCCCCCCCCCCCCCCCGCCGCCATAATCCCTTCTCCATTCTCCTCTCGAGCACACACGCACACATGCCTGGTGTGAGTTTAAGCCACCGGATCCAGGACTTGAACCGCAGTCGATTACATGGGAGTCCAACAACATAGCCATTACTCTAACTGCTGGTCCCACCCCTAAAATAGATTTTTTAAGGTTTTTGCCATAGGGTTCATGTGCTTGCCAGAGAGAGAGACATTGAGAAGGAGAGTGAGAAATCACCCCCAGGAGCCATAGCCAAGCTTCAATCCCTTCTGCATTCTCCTGGGATTTTGAGCATGCACGCACATGTTAATGGAATGATTTTCAAGCTGCTGAGTCTGGGACACAGGCTGTGGTCAGTCTTGTGGAAGTATAGTGTCATAACCACTACATCACCTGCTGGCCCCAAGCCCTAAAATATTTTTAAATGAAGGTTTTAGAATTCAAGGGTCCAAGAAATGACACTGTTGTCCAGTTGGCATTTACTATGCCTATATATTAATGTTGTGAGAAAGAGCCATTGAAAGGGCTAAGCCATTTCTCGGGGCAATTTCACCATCACTGATGGCTATAAACAAAGTTGAATTCTTTCCTTAATTTGGAGCCCGTTTTTTCTCTTAAAAGAATGTGTGAGCTATTCTTGTTCAGAAGGTACATAATTGCATTAAGTAAAATATTTCTGCAGAGTAGGGGAGAAAAGAAGTTTCTCCAAATAACATGGGAGGATTTCTTAGCCTAATAAGATCATCTTTGCTTTTAGTGGATAATGTTAGGTTATTGGGAAAGTCATGATGTATTTTTCAGTGCAAAGGTTTGTCATAACTTTCCCAACAACCCAGTCGTTAAATATCTTTCAAATCGAGGACCAGCAGTTGGTATAATGGCTATGTTGCTGGACTCCCATGTAGTCGACTGTGGTTCGAGTCCCAGACCCGGTGGTTTAAACTCACATCCAGTGCCTTAACCACCACACCACCTACCAGCCCCATACAATGTTTTTGTACCTGTTGGTCATCTTATATTATTATTATTATAGATGGAAGTCTTTATCTCTTTTTTTACTTCCCCAGAACTCTACTTAAATTATGTTTAACTTGTTCGATAAATTCTTATTAACTACTGTTTAGCTTAGAAAGTTTTGCCCACTTGTCTAACAATATATGAACAAAGGGACAGGTGAGTTAGAAATTCTCATTACCATAAATACAGATTGGTTTTCCTTTATCTGAAATGCTTGGGGTCAGAAGCGTTTCAGATTTGAATTTTTTTGACTTTGTGATATTTGCATATATATAATGAGGTGTATTGTGAGACCCAAGTCTAACCATGAACTTCATTTATGTTTCCTATTTACCTTATGTACATAGCCTGAGAGTCATTTTATACAGTATTTTTGCATTGCAATGTTACTTGAAATCAGATGTGGAATTTTCTACTTGTGGCATCAGGTCATGCTCAAAAAGTTTAAGATTTTGGATTTTTGGATTAGGGATGTTAGCCTGTAATATAAACTGGAGAGTCCAAACCAGTTAATAAGTAATAAATCTCATAATCCAATTTTATTCTTTAGTTTTCTAGTAGATGGACTACTAGTTGGTAAGGTTTTCTGTTATTGCTTTTTATAAGATCGGTTGCCCTGACTTTATTGAAATGAATTTTTTGTCCTTTTATTTTTTTTACAGGCAGCACTATGTGCTGTTCATGTCATCAGGAAGGTTCCTGAACTTATGGAGATGTTTTTACCAGCAACAAAAAATTTATTGAATGAGAAGAACCATGGTAATGTGATTTGAGTGCTTTCTTGAAGTACTTGGGGAGAAAGGAGAAAATGAAGGGCTGTGTTAATCGCACATTTCAGTGCAGAGGGGTTGCTTTTCTACTGTACTTAGACACTTTTCCAGGAAGGTCTGGTCTGCTGAATCCTTTTTCTACGCAGATGTCCTAGTTTTATAATTAGAGATTGATTCCTTCATAGTCACACATTTCATATCTGATTTTCTTTGACTCTATTAAAAGTATTACATGGTTGCTAATATTTTGGGCTGGCAAGTGATTTGGTGGTTAAAAGTGCTGGACTCCCGCCTGATCAACTGTGGTTCAAGACCCAGACCTAGTGGCTTGCTTTCTCATCTCCCTTTCTCTGTCTCTCTCTGATCAAACTAGAAAATAATAATAATAATAATACAAAATAATGAAGTTAAATGAAATAACTTTTTGGTCTTTTTATATTTAATTTCACTTATTATCATAATCTTTTTTATATTACATTGAATCACATATATCTTTACAGTGTATTACATTTCTTTTTCTAGCACAGTTACCATGCCTATCAGACAAGATAAAGACATTACTGTCCACATCATTATCAAATAGCTTTTCATCATTTTTTTCAGATGATGATTATTATTTATTCTGATTTAAAAATCATTCAGTCACTATATGTCATTTGGCTTGTATAAAGAACTTACCCAACATGAAATACTCAGACCAGTCCAGTTGAGAATACTATACATGTTGTTATCAACAGGTAATAAACCATTTCTGCGTTCCACTAACGTCATGCCTATTTTTTCTCTTGCTGTTCTTCTCTATACTCTTACCTTATCTCCCCCCACCCTGTTCCACACCGTCTTCACCATCCATAACTATATTCACTATTTTTATGCCCTCCAATATTTCAATCTCTACCATAAAGTACGGATAGTAGGCAATATATTAAGTGGATACATACAGTATCTTTCTTTCATATCTTGGCTTATTTCACTCAGCAGTAGATCTTCCATATGTGACCACTATCTATCAGATACCAGGGTCTTGTTTTTTATGGCTGAATAGTATTCCATAGAGTATATATGTCACAATTTTTCCATCCATTCATCTGTTTGTGGATATTTGAGTTGGTTCCATGTCTTAGCAATTGTGAATGAACACTGATGTGCAAGTGCTTTTCTGACTGAACATTCTAAATACCATCTCTAGCTCCTTCCGCAGAGTCCTATCATACCACAATCCTCTTCCTCCAGTCCTCCAACCCGTCTGATCTTGGGGACCCACATGCCTCCCTGGCATGTTGCAGGCTGATTAGCCGTGCATTCTACCCCAAGTCGCCATGTGAGATCCAGCTTCCCTTGAGCAGCATACTTCCTTTGTGCCATGGAGCCGGTTTCTAGCTGCTCTACTAAGAGATGCTGCTAGTCTACTTCACAACTCCCATCAAGTCAATAAAACAATTCTTAAACAAAAACAAAAAAACAGCTGTTGGATTTCTTTGGTATTTTATAATAAAAGAAAAAAAAAGTTTCTTCATTGTCATGTGGTAGGAGGATAAAATTTATGAAATTCTTCTGAGTTATTTCAAACAGAAATTTCTCATGGGTACTTAGGTATCTTTTAATCAAACTTAAGAACTGGATGGTGGGGACCAACAGGTGATGTGGTGGTTAAGACACTGAACTCCCACATGACCAACTGCAGTTCAAGTCCTAGACCTAGTGGCTTGCTTTTTTACTTTCCCTTTCTCTGTCTGTCTCTGGTCAAATTAAAAAATAATGATAACAAAATTCATTAAATCTTTTAAAATAAAAAGAATTGGATGGAATATGGATTTCTCCCCCCAGTCATTTTATTCTTAATTTTAAAGTCTGCAAAACATATTCTGAGTAAAGAAAATTTATGGGTCTTAGATGCTAAGAGAAAAAAGTGGTATGATATATTTAATCTGATTAATTCAGTGCTATGCCCAGAATGCTTAAAATATACTAGTTGAACAAATGAATATTGAGGACACTTATTACTTTGTGAGAAGTATAATGAGATTTTTTCTTTCTTTTTTTTTTTTGAGAGGTTTTTGCCATAGGGCGCATGCGCTCGCCAGATAGACAGAGACAGACAGAAAGCGAGAAATCACCCCCCAGGGGGGATGGCCACACCGCAATCCCTTCTTCTCCACTCTCCTCTTGGGATCTTGGGCACACACGCACATGCACCCAGCGTGAGTTTTAAGACAGCGGGTCCAGGATGCAAACCCCACCCTCCCACCCCACCCCCTGAGGGGGATGGCCATGCCTCAGTCATTTCTCCTCCAATCTCCTATTGGGATTTTGGGCATGCACACATGCCTAGCGTGAGTTTTAAACCGATGGGTCCGGGACTCAAACCACGGTCTACTGTGTGGGAGTCCAGTGACGTAACCATTATGCCATCCTCTCTGGTTCCTGAGATTGTTTTTTAACTGACCCTGGAATAAGCAAAAAACACTTTGTTATCCAAAATGATGTTAGAATTTTGATACATTTTATCTGGAAATTTAAAATCTTTCTAAGATTTTTCTATCTTGAATTGTCTGTCAGAATTCCGCTATTACCTCATTGGAGCAGATGATACCTAGATTCTGGATTACCTTGACTGTGAATGTATCTTTATGGGATAATCCCAGATAGATAGATACTTGTATTGTTTTTCTCTCTCTTTCTTTCTCTCTCTCTCTCTTTTTTTTTTTTTGGTAGTTTTTGCATAGAGTATGTGCACTTGCAGGAGAGATGAGAGAGAAAGAGGGAGAAAGTAAGAAAGCACTGCCCCAAGGGAGATGGCCATGCTATAATCCCTTCTCCATTCTTTTGAAATTTTGAGCCTATACACAATGTGCCCTACTTGTTTCCCAAGCCACCAGGTCTGGGACTTGAACTGCATAGTTTGATGTGGGATCCAACTGCAACAACCACACTACTGACTGGCCTCGTCACTTTTTAATAATCATTTTTATGATAAATTGTTAAAAAGATTTCAGTTTGACTGACTTGAGCAGTATCAAGTCAGCAGGCATCTGTTAGGTAACTGACCTTCTCTGTGTTCACCTCAATGTTTAGATTCTTTGGAGGATTAAAAAGCAAAAGTAGCAACTATCCTTTTGAAGTTGACCCTCAGAAACTCAGCCCTGTTCCAAGAAGTGGGAACTTGACCTTAATTTTAGCTTTCCTTTGTTTTTTCTTTCAGGTGTCCTTCACACATCTGTAGTCCTCCTCACAGAAATGTGTGAGCGAAGCCCAGACATGCTTGCACATTTTAGAAAGGTAGGTGCCATTCTGAATGCCCAAGCCTTTCTTGATTGAAAAATGATTTTCCTGAAAAGTACATGATTTTCTCAATTTATGATTTTCTCTTCTCACTTATGATTTCCTTTTGAAAGCAAGCTATTGCGCTGAATAAAGGATTTCACCAGCCCTGCTGTGTAGTGGGGCTGGAAGCCAGATTTAGGAGTATCAGAACTGGCACTAGTAGTACAGCATTTTCTTTTCACAATAGAAATCTCCTCTTATTGTTGGCAGACAGGCCAATCTCTCACTTGTTTTATCTGCGGTTTTCACATTTGAATCAGGAAACGTAACCTGACGTCAGGTTACAAATAGGAATTGTGTGTGTGTGTGTGTGTTTTGATTTTTTAAATTAAGACTGGTAATTTTATTTTTTTAAGGTGAAAACTGTAAACTGAATTTTTTTGTTTTTTTTTTGTAAACTGAAATTTGATTTTTATTGCTTTTACTTCACTGTTCAGTTTAGGCTGTTGACTCCTCCGATGGAAGTCTTGCTTTCTTAAGTGTCCCCCCCTTTTGTTCCTTTTTAAGTTTTTTCTTTCTTTCGTGAGAGAGACCAGAGAGGAGAGAAAGAGAAACAGGTACACTCTTGACAAGGTCTCACCATACCCATCCCTGCCCCCAGCCTTCCAGCCAGCCAGGATCACCAGCATGCCCAAGGGCATGTCCAAGGGCGTGTGAACCCAGGGTTTGACCAGGGCTGTGCTGCCTGTGACACTTCAGCTGGGCCTCCTCCCTTTTTTATTAGCATTTCAAAGTGGACGTTTCTATTTTTCCACTTTTTTTAAAAAGCAATAGTAAGAACTCAGAGAAAAACTGTCCTTTGAGGAGTTTGATACATTTAATTTTTCTCATGGGTGCTGATCACTCCATGAATAAGGCTCACTTTGTACTGTAGATGAAGTAAGACTCTAATAGCAGCTCTTTTTTTTTCCCCCCTGACTTTTCCCCCTCTTAGATGTTCATGTCCTGATTAAATTATTGTAAAATAGTATGAGACCCGTATCTGTCCCTAATGCTTGCTTTGTATGTTTTGTTCCTGTTGTCTGTTTGGAATCCTGCTGTATGTTAGAATGAAAAGGTAAGAATTAACCCTCTTTTAGATGGTGCATGCTGGCCTTAGGTTCTTAGTAGCTTTTGTGTATCCATCCACAAATGTGGCTTTTAAAATATACTAATGCTGGAGCTGTGCTTAATATTGTGAGTTATTTGTTCTACCACTTTTGGCTAACTCCCTAGTCCAGTTTTTGTCTTGTCACTTAAACTCTTGATTCCAAAGTCAGCCTTGGATTTCAGTTGCAGCCTTTTATGAATTGTCGGCCTCCTTTTCTGCCTTTCGTTTATCTTCACTTGAGAAACTTCGTGCAGTTTCCCAGTGGCTTTGGGGGTGGCAATGCCAGATCAGTCTGGAGCCTTGACACAAAACACTGCTTCTTTTTGAAGTAGGTATTTTAGAGCCATACATGGGTAACCTCATGGGGAACCTTTAAAAAGCTCCTTGTATACTTCCGAGCCATTAGTTCAGATATAGAGCCTTTATTCCCTCCTTACTTGCTCTTAGATCTTGTCTAGATGCCTTGGAATTTCAAAAGGATTTTTGAGGTAGAGTAGGTGGGCACCAACTGATTTTCATGGCTGCAGCCTTCCCCCTTGTCATCTTATTTTTGTCTGTCTTGTCATCAGTTTTAGTAATTTGCATTTTTGTCTGAAAAATAAAGCTGGGTTCCAAGAATGTGTATGCTGAACACTTAGACATTTGTGCTTTCTGTCCCAGGATAATCTTATGTGATGTGCTGGCCTTTGATAGTGAATGTAGCAATTTCTGAATTTAGTAGCCTGAGGTAAAAGGACTCCTCCAAGAAATAAACATATTTTAAAAAATAATCGGGGTCATGTGTAGTACAAAAAAAGTAGACTGTTGGAAAGTATGCAAGGTGAACTACTTTTTGTGTAGAAGTTGGTAACTAGATGGTCCTGGTTTTACTATAACATTTAAAACAGTTTTAAAAGTTACATTCTTACCTCCAATAAGAGTTTACTCACTGTTTAGAGATTTAATGAGGATTTTGTTGAGAAATAACAGATTTTCCTGGCTTAGATTTGTCTTATTCTTGGAGTTGTCCAAATTGGATTTTGCTTAGGTGATTGATGAGTCACATAATTTTGAAGTGGTATGGTCATACCTATTTAAATTTATGTATATTGGTTCTCTTGTATTTAGAAGTGGCCTTAATGTTTTGAATGTTTCCAATGCATGCCATGAGTATAGCTTGTCTTTTCATTTCAGTCTTGATCCCCTTTTAGGCTTGGGAGTGGGAAAGGGACAGAATTTAAATACAGTGAGAAAATAATTGAATTGCAGCACAGTTGGTGCTGTTCAGGTTGCCTACAAAAGAGCTGTGTGATTCTGCTTACTTTGGACTCTTTTTAATTTTAGTTCATTGTAGTTGATCATATAGCTAGATTTGAGTTTTCACTTAGAGGCTGGAAAAGTTATTATTGCAAACATTTTGGAGTAGGATTTTAATATCAAATAATTGATCAACAGAATTGAAATGAGCCGTAATATTGAAAGCATCCATAAGTTCAGCTTGGCAATAAAATCCCCTCTGCTATGTGTTATGACTCTAATGGAAAAAGTCTAGGAAGGACTAGAAAGGAAGGAATCCCTGGCCGTAAGAAATATTTAGTCTCATGGGTGAGATAAGACAAGAAAAAAGCCTGCATAGCAGTATGCATGCTTAAATGCTGAAACTAAATTTTAGCAGAAATTGTGTAGTATGAGTTAAGAATAGGGAAAGGAAATTATTCATGATTTTGGTATCTTCTTATGGTGAAGGATACAGTTTTTTCATGTACTTTTTCCACTTGGTTAATGTTGTTGGTTTTGGTATTTCCCCATTGTTTGTAGCTAGCCATCTGAAGAGGAGAGAATTTTTTTTCTCTACTTGAAATGATAGAAGAAAAAAACTATAATTTTATACCAGTTACATTGTAGTATAATGTTTTTATATCCAGGTGTTTGAAGGGATAAAACTAAACATGTTTTGTCACACAGACAAGTCAAGTTCTCCAGAAATAGAAATGCAGCCTGCCCCATAGGCATTTGTTTTACTTGGTTCCCATAGGTTTTCTGACCTTAATTTGTAATATCTTATGTGTATATAGCTCAGGAATTTTTTTTTTTTAAATCTGGTTTGTTTCTATCTAGATGAAATTCAAAATTCTTGAGTTCTTGGCCTATTAAGTTTTATTTTTTAAACATCTACAGTAGAATTGTGTCAGTAAGTTTTGCTTAGATTCAAACCCTTATACCCTCTTTCTAAACCAAAGGACCTGCTTATTCATGAAACATTCTTCAAAATTCACTGTTTCTTGATGCATCTTTCTTCTCTGCAGCTTGTACCCCAATTAGTTCGTATTCTAAAGAACCTCATCATGTCTGGATATTCACCAGAACACGATGTTTCTGGCATCAGTGACCCTTTTTTGCAGGTGAGATTGAAAGAAAGTTTTGAATAAATATCCTGTGAATTTAATGTCTTTTGAATAGATAATTTCCTTCCTCTATGTTTGTATTGGGTGGAAATTTGGTAGTTGATTAAACTAAGTATGTCAATAACTGCACAGTGACACATTTTTTATATTTTGTTTGATTAATAAAATAAAATTATAGTTTTAATAGAATTATTTACTACTTAGTTAATTTCTTAATATAATGTAGCTTGGAAGGTGGTGGTATCCTTTTGTGGAGTGGTGATGGATGGGCTGTCTGATAACTTCAGTAGGCATAGAAGCATATATAGCTTCTCTAAAGACCATCTTAAATTTCTCCTTGATTTTTGATAATTTCTGATGGTATCTAATACCTTATTTAAATTGCTTAAATTTCATATCAAGTAAGATTCCTTTGTATCAGACATAATTTGTTGACACTTCTTGTATTTTGCACATTAGGTACGAATTTTGCGGTTATTAAGAATTTTAGGACGAAATGATGATGACTCAAGTGAAGCTATGAACGATATATTAGCACAGGTAAGCAGACAAAACTTGTATTATATTGAAATATTTGTTTGAGTTTAGCAGAGACTAAATGATTGTGAAAGTTTTTGTTTGTGTTTCTTCATTGGTGCCCATAATCAAAAAATGTCTCTCATTACATCTAGATATTTTTGGAAGCATTGGTTTGTCACTTATGTATTCTCCTCTGTCTTTTCAGGTTGCCACTAATACAGAGACTAGTAAAAATGTAGGAAATGCTATTCTTTATGAAACAGTTTTGACTATCATGGATATTAAGTCAGAAAGTGGACTGAGGGTAAGTCTCTTTTAATCATTTCATCTCCTTAAACATTTCATTTTCAATGATTGACTTAGACTTTAGTATTTTGGAATTGGATTCTGTCTGGAACTTGACCCTAGGATGGAATGAGGCAAAATGTATATTGCTGTGTTTTTCATGTAAGTATCGTTCCCTCTCATGTGGGCTTAATGTTAATTATGATAACGTTTCAAAGATCTTAGATATAGTTAGATATATAGTTCTTGTTAAGTCAAGGAAACATTTCAGAATAAGCTTTTCTTTCCCGGAGCTACAATTTGAGTTGTACACATGTCTTCAAACAAGACATCTTACTGGTATGTGTGTGTGTGTGTGTTTAAGAAGTAAATATAGAGGATCTAAATGGTGGCACAGAAGTCAAACATGATGCGCTAGGTGGCTGACCCACATGTGAATATTTCCAGTTTGTATCTCAAGACCTTCCTGAGTGTGTTAGGTGCACTCTCCCATCTGGGCTGACTGAGGTTGGGTGTGGATTGCCTTGTCATGATCTCATTGTGGATGCTGTCTTTCTTGCTCATGGAAGAAATAAATAAAAACAAAAACCAAAAAACATACACAGTAAGAAACACAAGCAGTACCAAAGATACATAGGGAATAAAATGTTTGCCTTGTAGCTTTCACATGTAGCTTCCCAGTTCTTCCAAAGTGAAATACTGTTACCATCTTCTAGTGTATTTTTTAGAGATGTTTATCTAGATTCACATATGTCTATACATGCATATTTATTCATCTTTTTTCCACTTCTGAAGAATTTTACTTGAAGTAATTTTAGACTGAAAGAGAAGTTGCAAAAATAGTTCTGAGTTCTCATAACACACCATACTCTCATCCAGGTTCCCCTAATGTTGACATCTTGCATAGTTACAGTACAGTTATCAAAACTAAGAAATTAATATTACTATGCCACTCTTCAGTAACTTGATTACAGATTACTAATTATTATAAGTTATACAGATTTATTCATATTTCACTGGTTTTAGTCCTGATGTCATTTTGCTGTTCCAGGAGCTAGTTCATGATCCCATGGGGTATTTGTTGGGTTATGAGAAAAGTCATGATGCATTTTTGCATAGGAAATTATGTCATGACTTTTCCAATAACCTATTAGTTGTTATGTCTGTTTAGTTGCCTCTCACCTGTCATAGGTCCTCAGTCTTTTCTTATCTTTCTTGACTTTGACACTTTTGAAGAATATTAATCAGTTACTTTGTAGCTCAATTTGGATTTGCTTCATATTTTCTCATAATTTTATAGATTAAGGCATAGTTGTTTTTGGAAAACTACCACAGAACTGATGTGCCCTTCTCAGTTGATCATATCAGAAGGTGTAGGTATACATGCTATCTGTTTTTCTCATTATTGGAGATGTTACTGTATGTCATTTGGTTAAAGTCCTGTCTGCTGGCTTGCTCTTTTCCCTTTTATATTTAAAAATACGTTTGGGGACCAGCATGTTGCATGGTGATTAAGGCACTGGACATTCCCACGTGGCCAACCATGGTTTGAGTCCCAGACCTGGTGGCTTGCTTTCTCACATTCCTTCTCTCTGTGTCTGTCTTTCTTATGTCAAATTAAAACGAATGAATAAATAAAATTAAATAGATAATTCTTTTTTTAAAAAAAAAAAAACACTTTTTTTTTTTTTTCAGAGAGGTTTTTGCTATAGGCTGCATGCGCTCGCCAGACAGACAGAGAGAGACATAGAGACAGAAAGCGAGAAATCACCCCCCGGGGGGATGGTCATGCCGCAGTCCCTTCTCCTCCGTTCTCCTCTTGGGATCTTGGGCACGCACGCACACGTGCCTGGCGTGAGTTTAAGCCACCGGGTCCGGGACGCGAACCGCGGTTGACTACGTGGGAGTCCAGCGACATAGCCATTACGCTAACTGCTAGTCCCAAAACAACACTTTTTGAAAGACACTTTGGGACTATGTAAATATCCCATTGTCCTCAGAATTTTACCCACCAATGTTAGCATCTGCCAAAAGATCTTGTGTGCAATTATTAGGATGGTGTACTTATATACTTTCATTTTCCCTTAAGTAATTAGAATCCTTCCATAAATGGGACCAGTAGATGATGTAATTCTTACTTCACATATAGTTGACAGTGGTTCAAGTCCTGGACCCGGCAACTTAAAACTCACACTCTGTGTGTGTGTGTGTGTGTGTGTATGTGCATGCGCACGTGTGCGTGCATGTCCTTGCCCAAGATCCCAAGAAGAGAATGGAGGAGAAGAGGTTGCAGCTTGGCCATCTCCCCTGGGGGGTGTTTTCTTGCTTTCTGTCTCTATGTCTTTCTCTTGTCTCTCTGATGAACACACATACCGTGTAGCAAAAATTTCTCTTTTTGGAGAGGTTTTTGCTATAGGGTGTGTGCACTTGCCAGAAAGACAGAGACAGAAAGTGAGAAATTATCCCCCAGGGGGGATGGCCACGCCACAATCCCCTCTCCTCCATTCTCCTTTTGGGATCTTGGACTCACACACACACAAACACACACACACACACACACACACACATGCACATGCCCGGCCTGAGTTTAAGCCACCAGGTCTGGAACTTGAACCGTGGTCGATTACGTGGGAGTCCAGCAATGTAGCCATTACGCTAACTGCTGGTCCCAAAAATTTCTCTTTAAAAATAAAAAAGAATTCTTCTGTAAAGTAGTACTGTTCCTTTTTCTCCCATGAGTTTATTCACCTATTTCATGGAAAAAATCAATGTATTGAGTTTATTTTGGTACAAACAATGTGTAGGTTTTTTTTATAATAAGCATTTCTTCCTGAATTTTTTGAAGACCACCCCCACTCCAGTTTTTAGAATTGCTAATCCACAGCCCTGTATAAATTAAGTAAACTTTCTAGAGGATAATATTTATGTACAGTTTTTTCTGTCTTTAACATTGTAGTATCCAGTCAAATAGCTTAGGTTCTTTTCCTCTTCTTGCTTTAAAACAAAATAATAACATATATATTGTTCTGTACCTTATTTTATTTATCTAATTCGATCTTAGAGCTAGTTCCATATTCATGTATAGAGACCAGTTTCGTTCCTTAAATTTTTTTCCTTAACTCTGATAAAATATAAATAACATAAAATTTACTATTAAAAAGAAAGGTTAGGTGTGTAGTTCAGTGACAGTACATTCATGTTGCTGTGTAACCAGTATCACCATTTACCTCTGGGATTTTTTTGGCTTCTCAAAACTCTGTGTCTGTTAAATAATAACTTCTCATTCCCCATTACCCCAGTTGTTTGCAGCCACCATTCTACTTTCTGTTTCTATGAATTTGACTACTCTTAGGTATCTCTGAAGAAATTTCAGGGGGGAAAAACCCTAAAACCAAACTTTTTCTACTGTGCTCACGCAGTCACTTAGCACTTTACCTCTGACACTAAATATGTGGGGTCCCCTGCACCCCTCTCTCTCCCCCACACCAAGTAAGTCTCTAGCAGATACCAGCTGGGTATCCTCTAATTTAATTCATTTCTGACACTATTTACCTGAGGATAGTGTTGGATCCCACAGATTGAGGGCTTAGTCTGCCCTCCCTTCAGATGCCATTTACAGGCGTGGAGTATAACTTGTGCTTTTGACCACTCTCGCAAATTAATCAAACTCATCCTCCTTGGGTTTTACAAGAGTGGCTCACAGAAATCAGGAAAACACTTCACTTAGGTTTACCAATTTGTTACAAAGGATGTTACAAAGGATATAGACGAGCAGCCAGATGGCATCCATTCCTTCTCCAGGTATGCCACCCCCCAGGAAAACTCAATTGATGGGACCAGCAGTTAGTGTAAAGGCTATGTCACTGAACTCCCCTGTAGCCGACCGCGGTTCGAGTCCTGGACCCGGTGGCTTGAACTCATGCTGGGCGTGTGTGCATGCGTGCCCAAGATACCGAGAGGAGAATGGAGAAGGGATTGCGGCGTGGCCATCCCCTGTGGGGGGTGATTTCTCGCCTTCTGTCTCTCTCTGTCTTTCTGGCGAGCGCAAGTGCCCTATAGCAAAAACTTCTCAAAAAAAAATTTTTTTTTTTCAGCTCTCGGGAAACTCCTCTGAGCCCTATCTTTTGGGTTTTTATGGAGGCCTTATTACATAGGCCTGATAATTAAGTCATTAACCACTGGCATTCACCTTAACCTTTAATGCCTCTCTTCTCCTTGAAAGTTGGGAATTGGGGTTGAAAATTCTAACCTTCTTGGGAGTGGGAGAGGGAGGGAAGAAAAAAAAAATTTTAACTTTTTTTTTTTTTTTTTTTTGCTAGAGGAGGCAAGTGCTTGCCAGAGAGACTGAAACCAAGAAATCATCCCTCAAGGGGGATGGCCACACCATAATCCCTTCTCCTCCATTCTCCTCTTGGGATTTTAGGCATGCCATCCTTTTGTGTATCTTGTTTTATTTAGTATAATGTTTTCAAGTTTTGTCCATGTTGTACCACATGCCAGAATTTATGCTTTCATTGACTGCATAGTAGTCCATTGTGTGGATATACCATAGTATATTTAGCAAATTTGCTGCCAGGGGACATCTAGGATGTTTCCTACCATTTGTGTAATTTGTCAGTAATGCTGCAGTAGAGTTTTGTGCAGATGTGCAGTGTGTGTGTCAGATAAGTTCCTAGAAGTGAAATTATTGAAGCAGAGGATATATTTTCATTTGAAATATTTATGGTGATTTTCAGGTTTTCCTCTAAAGAGGCTGTATGAATATCATTATTGTACTAACAGTATTAAAACCTAAAGCATAATTTTCCAACAATTGCTATTGAAACAGAATATGATTTATATTTGTCTTTAATTTTTTTTTTTCCCTTGTAGAGGAGTTTGTGAGCTCACTGGAGAGAGTGGGAGGGAAAGTGAGAAATCACCCTTTGAGGGGATGACCATGCTGCAATCCTTCTTCATTCTCTTCCTAGGATCTTGGGCACACAGGCACATGCTCTTCGTGTAATTTTTCAAGCCACTAGGTCTGGAACATGAACCACTGTCAGCTATGTGGGACTCCAGTGATGTAACCACTACACTATCTGCTGACCCCCTTTTTCCTTTTTTGCTAGCAGTCTGTAAAGTTACCAGCTATTACTTTTAAATGGTTTGTATCCATCAGAGGCCAGGAAGTGATCCTTTAGCGTCAAGAAACAATATAAATACCTAATTTTCCTGAATTTTTAACCTATACTATTTATTTATAGGTCTTAGCCATAAATATCCTGGGTCGCTTCTTATTGAACAATGACAAGAATATTAGGTAAGTCAACTGAAATGTTTTTTATCTTGGGTACTATGAACTCAGTATTTTAAAGACCAACTTTACTTACTATTAGACATGTATTAAATGACTTAGCTATAACTTCAATTCAGAATTTATATTTTTAGTCTTAAAACTACTATTTTGTAGAGAATTTGAGGATTTGCCGCATGCCTTAATTTTATTCCTATTCTATAAATCAAGGATCAGCAAACTTTTTTTGTAAAAGGACAGATGATAAATATTTCAGTCTTGAGGCTGGCAGGTGGCGTGGTGGTTTAGGGCACTGGACTCTCATGGGCAACTGTGGTTCAAGTCCTGGTCCTGGTGGCTCGCTCACTCGCTCGCTCTTTCTCTCTCTCTCTCTCTCCCCCTCTCTGGTCAAATTAAAATAAGTAAATAAATAACAAAAGTAAATAAAATAATTCTTTAAAAAAAGTTTCAGTTTTTATGGCCCATAGGTTCTCTGTGCAAACTCTTCAGTTCTGCCCCTTAGCATGAAATCAGCCATAGATAATACATAAATGATAGACAAGGCTGTGTTTGAAAGAAATTAATTTATGAAAACAGCAAAGGGCTAGATCTTGCATGTGGGCTGTAGTTCGTCACCCATATTCTAAAACTAAGAAGAAAAATATTACATTGTAGGTGGCAAATCTGAAATTTTTTTTTTTTTGAGAGGTTTTTCACTATAGGGCGCGTGCGCTCGCCGGACAGACAGAGAGAGACACAGAGACAGAAAGTGAGAAATCACCCCCTGGGGGGATGGTCACGCCGCAATCCCTTCTCCTCCATTCTCCTCTCAGGATCTTGGGCACGCACGCACACGCGCCCGGCGTGAGTTTTAAAGCCACCTGGTCCGGGACGTGAACCATGGTAGACTACGTGGGAGTCCAGCGACATAGCCATTACCCTAACTGCTGGTTCCCAATCTGAAATGTTTTTGTGAACTCTAGCTTAAGTTATATTAATTGGTCAATATTAATTTTATTTGTTACTTTCTTGTATGTAGTTGTCTTGCTTGCCTTTTTCATTTTAAGTTCACTTTAAAAAAATTGTTTCATATGAGAGAAGAGAGAGAGGGAGACAGGCACCCTTGACAAGGTCTTGTCATGCTGTATAGTTCCCTTCCCCGAGTCAGGGTGACTTGGGATTCAAACCCACAGTTAACCATGTGGCTTCCAGCACTGCACATTACTACACTATGATCTGTGCTAGCAAGGGTGGTCACTTCCTGTTTTTTTTTTTTTTTTTTTGTGATAAAGAGACAGTTTTTTTCCTTAACCATGTTAAGCATGGAAAGATGTGGAAATAATCACTATGGCACCTTAAATTATCGTCTCCTAAAAATACTTCTAAACACTTGAGTCTTGAATTTTAATTTTTTATTTATTTATTTATTTATTTATTTATTTATTTATTTATATTTATTTATTCATTTATTTATTTTTTAGTTTGACCAGAGAGAGACAGAGAGTGAGAGAATGAGGAAGTGAGAAAGCAAGCCACCAGATTCAGGACTCGAACCCTGGTCGGCCATGTGGGTGTGTCCAGCACCTTAACCACCACGCCACCTGCTGGTCCCGAATCTCGAATTTTTATAGAGACAAATTTGGTGCCAGTATGAAATAAAAGCAGAGGAAACCCACAAGATCAAATTAAAATAATTTTCTCAGAACCAGCACTTAGCGTAATGGCCATGTCGCTGGACTCCAGTGTAGCCGACCGCGGTTTGAGTCCTGGGCCCGGTGGCTTAAACTCACGCCAGGCATGTGTGCGTGTGTGCCCAAGATCCCGAGAGGATAATGGAGGAGAGGGGATTGCAGCATGTCCGTTCCCCCTGGGGAGTGATTTCTCGCTTTCTGTCTTTCTCTCTCTGCCTTTCTGGCAAGTGTATGCGCCGTATAGCAAAAACCTCTCAAAAAAAAAAAAAGGAATTCAGTTACTTTAGAACTTTAAATGAACTTGACCATGGACATACATATAAATCTAGAACTTCGCCGTTGCTACTACTGTAGATTATTGTATCTTTTAGGCCTTTAAATGTTATCCGTATACATACTAACTCTGTATTTAGTCTCAAATATTTAAAATGTATGCTTTCTCTTATCTATTAGACATCTCTGTGTCATTTAGGGGGAGGAAAACTATTCTTAATTTTACATGTTAAACCTGTTATTCTACAACTTTGTTTCATCTAGATATGTAGCTCTGACATCTTTGTTGAAGACTGTGCAGACAGATCATAATGCAGTACAGAGACACAGAAGCACAATCGTGGACTGTCTAAAAGATTTGGATGTCTCAATAAAACGGTAATGAACTAAGAATCTTTCTCACATGGTATTTTGTTAAATGAAGTAAGAGAAATAGGTTATTGATAATTCTGTGCCCTCCTCAGTTGATCCTTTTAGTAGTTTTAAGGGTAAGGGGGTTGACCTTTATGTATTTTGTCTTTTTGTTCACAGATGAACTGTCTGCAGAGTGAATCCTTTTTTAAGAGAGGATTTCCAGGGAGTTTAGGTCAATTAAGGAGGCTGATAAATACTTAAGTGAACACTGAAGTTATCCTTGGCTTTTTGATAAATTAACTTGTATAGATAAGCTGGGCAAGTTTATTTAATAGAGGGTACTGTATATTGTGTGTTGGAGGATGAAAATATGGAGTGATCCATCGGCTGAGTGTCTTATCACAATGCTGAAACTCAACTTGCTGACAGCACACGTATTTTACAGTACTTATGCCCTAGGATACTGGAGACAGTTGTTATTTTTAGAACAGTACATCTAGGAATGACTGTTAGACAGCAAATAGCAAGCGCTCTCAAAAGGCATGAATCTCTTCTATCAATATAGTAACTCTACTGTTTTCTTCTTAGAAGAGCATTAGATATTTATAAAATTTAGCTATAGTTGGTCTCAATGAACTTTTGGTTGTATTTTCAAATCTAGAACAAATAGATTTAAAATGATTCAGTTATTAAACATTTATTGATACTGAGTTTCTTTATTTGCACCTTAGAATAGGTGCCTGGGCAATCTGAAGATAAGAACTAGACTCAGTGAGCCATGGATGTAGGGTTAAGGTGATGAACTTCCACATGGTCAACCATGCTTCGAGTCCCAGACCTGGACTTGCATTCTCACTTTCCCTCTCTGTCTTTCTCTTTCTGATGAGCATATGAGCCCTTTTTGTCACAAAATGAAAAATATAACAATAATGAAAAAATTAAGTAAATAATTCTTTAAAAAAAAAGAACTAGACTCTAACACCAACTTTAAGTAGTGCTTTGTAAAGGATTTGCATAACTCTCTAACTCAGTTCTCAGAGCAAGTCAGTGAGAGACTAGGCGATCACTTCTATCCCCATTTAGCAGATTAATTAAAATACAATCCCAAAAGGGCTGACCATGGTTTGAGTCCCAGACCTGGTGGCTTGCTTTCTTACTTTCTCTCTCTTTCTTTCTCTTTCTCTCTCTGATCAAATTAAAATAAATGAATAAATAAAATGAAAAATAAATAATTATTTTTAAAAAATACAATCCCAAAGGGATCAGATGACTTACCCCAGATCTTAACCATTGTAAATGTCAATCCTGGGACTAGAAATCAGGCACTCTGACTCCTATTGATTATTTTCTTGTATCTCATTACTGACTTCAAATTTCAGAAGTAAAACCTGTGTCATTTACAGGGCATATAAAAATTCAAATTCAGACTCTGAAGGCAGATGATCTCATTTGAGATTCTGGCTCTATGTAGCCTTAATAGATTGGGTTAAAATACTTACCTTCAAAAGGGTGTCTTCGTTGCCTCATATATAAAATGCACGAAGAAGAGCATCTACTTGATAAGAGTTATGCAGGATTAATTGAATTAATATATAAAAAGTACTTAAATGCATTATATAAGAGTTAACTACTATTATTTCTAAGGATTGAATTTTTGTTGCTTGTATATTAGCTCAGATGAATGTGTTTTCTACTTAATAAATCAGTATTTTTGAAAGGTAGTATATATTCAGTGTTTGAAATTATTGGTGAAATACAAAAAAAATGCCTCTAATAACCATATAACTTTAATGCATTAAACATTTTTATTTTTGCTTTTGTTGCAAAATTTGATAGGTAGTTACAGAAACTTGTTTGCCTTCATGGCACATGACCTTTTTCCTTTTCATGGCCCTCATTTTCCCTTTCAGTTTATTTTTAATGATATGTTTTTACATACCTTTTGATACAAACTATGTTGCATCATCTTTGGACAAAAGTGTGATTTAATTAAAGTATGGTGATTCAGTTTGTCACAAATAATGCAGAGAGGTATTACCACTGGCTAATAATTTTGTTGCTTTTCTTTTTAGCTTTTTTTTAAAAAAAGAACTATTTAATATTATTTATTATTATTAAAGGATTATTTATTTACTTATTTGTTACTATTTTGCTTTAATTTGACCAGAGAGAGACAGAGAAGAAAGAGAAAGGGAAAATGAGAAAGCAAGCCCCCACATCTGGGGCTTGAATCATGGTTGGCCATTTAGGAGTCCAGTGTCTTATCCACCATGCCACCTACTGGCCCCATTATTATTAATTTGCTATAGGACATATGTACTCACCAGAGAGAGAGAAAATGAGAAAGCAAGTTACCAGTCCCAGTCTTGAACTCCATTCAGCCATGTGGGAGTCCATTGCCTCAGCCACCATGCCACCTACTGGCCCCTATTTAGCTTTTTAAGGATTCTAAATTTCAACTTCACGGGATAGGCTGTTTAACCCAAACTTCATTTTTAGTCTTTAAAAGTGTATCTCTTAGGAATTTTTGAAGAAAAGTATTGAATTAATATCTAAAATATCAAAACCAACATTTATTATATAAGAATAAATTTTGGTCATCTTGTATGCAAAGATCAGTATCAGAAAACTGTGTAAAGATATTATTAACACATCTGCCAGAGCTTGGCATTCATATGGAGCACACCTAGGTCTTTGTTTCATTCCTACTGTAAATATAACTTTCTAAAAAATTTTTCCCCTCTGCAAGGCGTGCAATGGAATTGAGTTTTGCCCTGGTAAACGGGAATAATATCCGAGGCATGATGAAAGAATTACTTTATTTTCTGGATTCCTGTGAGCCAGAATTTAAAGCAGACTGTGCATCTGGAATCTTTCTTGCTGCAGAAAAGTAAGGTTTAATTTTTACTTTTTTTTGGTAAAAGATACTTGGAAATTTCTATAAGCATCTTTTAAGCATACAGAAAATACTGTGAACATGTTTAATACTTACGGCATCTCTTGTCTATTATGCCGTATTTATAAGGGAATAGAAAAATGACAGTTGTAGTTCTCTACAAAACTTTAAGGGGGAATTTACCATAAGATTTTAGTAGTCTGACTTATTCTCCCTCTTTTCACTCTGAATTTAAGGAAATGAGTTCCTAGTCCTGGTTTTGTCTGGGTCTAGTGACAATCTCTTTTCTTCTTCTTTGTCCTGCCCTGATTGCATGACTTGTTTTCTAAGAAACTGTAGACAGAGTCCCATTTCTATACTCAGTTCCTACTGCAATATTATGGGAAATATCTAGGTTCTAGTATATACCATTTCATCACCCTTTGAATTGATGATTGCTGCTAGTGTGAAGGTAGTATGTCTCTAAATATAATCATGTAACCAGGGAGCCTAGAAAAGACAGATTTTTGTAAGTTACTGAACACAGTGTAGTTTACAGGTTTCAATTTCTTCACCCTGTGCCATTGTTTTTTTAGGTATGCACCTTCCAAACGGTGGCACATAGACACTATTATGCGTGTTCTGACAACGGTAAGTCGCTTTTTAAAGTCAGCATATACCAAGTGCTGGACATACTGATAAATGAGGCAGACAAAGGCTGTGTTCTCATGTAGCTTGCGTTTTAGTGGAAGAGACAGGAAATTCATATAACATAATGTCAGGTAGGGATAAATGCAATGAGAAAGCTGAAGCCGCATGAGGGCATATGGTAATGACAGGGTAGGGTGGTCTATGGGGCAACTGGTCAAGTGTGTCATACAGTGTAGTCAGGGCAGGTTTCCCAGAGGAGATAATGTTTGAGTAGAGATGATGATGAAGTGAGGAGCAAGCCATTCCAAGGTCTTAGAGAAGATTCTACTGGTCAGCAAGAACAGTAAGTGCAAGGACCTTGGGCAACGCCAAGCTGCCTTAGTCCCACCATTCTCTGGTTGTCTCACTTCACTGCCTGCT